AAAAAAAAAAAAACACCCCCCAGTGAACGCCTCGAGTTTGGGGCAGGCCCAGATCAGATTGTGCAACACTCGGCGTCAGAAGAAAAAACTTCTTGAAATCCACAACTTGTTTATATATATACACATGTATATCGCCTCACCCGTGTTCACAGTTTCACCAGCAAAAAAAAGAAAGGTTGAGATTTCAAGCCAACTTCCACACTGTACATCTTTCCTCCGTGACTTTCAATTACGGTTTACGGGGTAATTTTAAACTCCGATGTTTGTCCGGCTCTATTTTCGTCCCTTTGATACTTTGAATTTTAAAAAAGCAACAGCAAAAAAACTGCCGGGAAATGTTTATAACGGACAAAAAAACAAAGATTTATCACCATTATCTTTGATGATGATTATTATTATGATTATAATGATGATGTTGATGATTATTATTATCATTATTATTATGATTATTATGATTATTATGATTATTATTATTATTATTATTATTATTATATTATAGTAAGAGCTTTACAGCACTCGCAACAGAAAGAGGCAATAAGTGCCTAAAATTAGATTAGAGGTGTAATAAGAGAGTACATTTCTTTTACTTAAAGAAGAAAGAAGGAGGATAGACTTAAACAGAACATGTTTGATAGGAAAGAAAGAGTAAACCACACCAGAGCTTTTTTTGGTTTCAGTAGAGGTTTTACCGCGCTCGCAACTGCATAAGGTCATATGAGCGCCAGAGGATTAGAAGTGTTACAATAGAGTAACAAACACCAGAGCACCCACAAACCACCCAGAGATACAGGAAAGGAAGGGGGGGGGGGGGTACCGCTCCGTGGAACGTTCTGTTGTGGAAACGTGACTAACAACGCCCTACATAACACAATATAATTAAACAGCTTGAGGAGGGCTTGCTTCAGTCTCCAAGTAAGGAAAGAAGGAGGGAAGAAAGAAGGTCTATACCGGAGACGACCAGAGAAAGGAAAGAAAGGAAAGAAGAAGAAAAAGAGACCATCATGAAAGAATGAAGAAGGGAATGAAAGGGTTGTTTTTTTTACGGCATCTTCACAAAAAAAGCAAGGAAGACCTACAGACGGTCAGTAAAGAATGAAAAAGAGAATGAAAAAGGAAACAGAGGAGATATACTGACGATCATAAAAAAATTTTAAAGGAAAGAGAGAAGGTATTCTGACGATCAGTAATAAATGAAGAACGAAGGGAAGAGGTATACAGACTATGAATAAGCAATGAATAAAAGAGAAAGAAGAAGGTATATATATATATATATGGATGATCAGCAAACAATGAAGACAGGAAGAGCAGAAGGTAAACAGAATACAGGGAAGAAAGAAGTAATAAAGACGAACAGCAAACGATGAAGAAAGGAACAAATAAGGTTTTTATATTATAACATGCACATGATCAGTAAACGATGAAAAAAGGAACGAAGAAGGTGTATATAACATAAACGAAGAGTAAACAATGAAGAAAGGAAAAGCAGAATGAATACAGAATATAGGGGAGGAAGAAGTTATATATATAGACGACCAGCAAACAATGATGAAAGGAAAAAGAAGGTATAATTATCATAACATGCAGACGATCAGTAAACAATGAAGAAAGGAAGGAAGAAGGTATAAATAACATACAGAGGAACAGTAAACTAAAGAAGATAATCCCACAAACTACTTCTTTAAAAAAAAATCTTTTTAGAAAGAGTTTTACGGCATTTGCAACACAATGAGGTCATATAAGTGCCGAAGATTAGTGATGTTACAAGAGAGTAAAAACATAAAAAAGAAGGAGGGGAAATAAGGACGATAGATGTTTCATAGGAAAGAAGAAGCAAACCATACCAGATCACCCGCCAACCACCCACACAGGTCAAACAGTGCACGGTAGAAGACAGTGTGAAAGACTGAAACAACAAAGGGATAGATAAGAAGTTGATCCTAGAATCATACGTACACATATACTCTCTCTCATAAATACATATTATATATATATATATACAAACAACATCATTCGAACAAATGGTATGACTCCCCTACCCACACACACACACACATATACACATAATATACAAAGTACACATACAAAACACACTCATACATACACATACACACAAACACACACACACACACACACACACACACACACACACACACACAAATATATATACAAAGTACACATACAAAACACTCACACATACATACATACACACACAAACACACACACACACACACGAACACACACACACACACACACAAGTCCTACCTTCACAACATCAGGGCCAGTGATGAACAAGTAGGATGTGTTCTGTCGACATAAACAGATTAAAAAAATATAAGTTTAGCTTTTGTAAGTGTTTTACAGCACTTGCAACACAATAAGGTCAATTGTTTTAGTTTTAGTAGAGGTTTTACGGCGCTCGCAACTGCATAAGGTCATATGAGCACCAGAAGATTAGAAGTGTTACAAGAGAGTAACAAACATAAAAAAGAAGAGGAGATAAGGACGATAGATGTTTGATAGGAAAGAAGGAGCAAACCACACCAGAGCACCCGCCAACCACCCACACAATAAGGTCATACAAGCGCCGAAGATCAGAGGTGTTACAAGAGAGTAACAAACACAAAAAAGAAGGAGGGGAGATAAAGACGATAGACATTTGATAGGAAAGAAGGAAGCAAACCACACCAGAGCGCCCGCCAACCACCCACTCAAAAATACAAAATAGCTGAGCTCCTTGTTACAAAACCACAATGTAAGTTCACATACATACACACACACACACTAACACACTCACACACACAAACACAACACTCTCTCACACACACATGCACCCACACACACAAACATACACACACAAACATACACACACGCACATACACCCACACACAAAATACACATATCATGCATGATGGAAATAATAGATGTTCCAAAAGTAAGGTAGAAATTGTCCTGACTCAAAATGTAAGAAAAGATGCAGCAGTACAGTGCCTCATTTTCAGTTTCAGTGAGAGCTTTACATATTTTGCGACACTATTAGGTCATAAAAGTGCCAAAGATTAGAAGCATTACAGTACATAATATACAAAGAAAAGGTTGAGAGATTGGGAAGGTAGATGTTTGATGGGAAAGAAAGAGGAAACCACGCCAGAGCACCCTCCAACCACACACAGCTCATTTCATGAAACAAAAACATCTCCAAAATAGTTCTTAACCCTATCTGTACGTCATGTTTTCCTATCGTATCCAAACGACGTAGGGAACTCTGTGATATCACTTTCCAAAGAGGAAATTGACTCGTTAATCCGATCCGTACACTTTGCATAGCAGTCTGTCAAAATTATTTTCTAAGAAATACTGAAAGTTTCATAGAGATCTTCGCACTAGAAGTATTCTTTAATGCGAAGAATACAACCCCGGGGGTACAAAATGACCCCAGGGCGTACGGATAGGGCTAATGAGAGAGAAATAACAGAATATCATCCTTGTTCCTGCTTCTAAAGGAAAAGTCTCCATGCTTTCGCCGTTATGAATCGCTGGATTTCAAACAGAATAAAAAGTATTTTGATGTAGAAGTAAGTGTTATAGAATGCAAGTTTCTGAAAACTGCACTCAAAATGGAGCCTCATCCAAGATAAATAGAAGAATCAGGATTTTTAAAGTATTAGTAGAGGTATTACAGCGCTCGCAACTGCATAAGGTCATATGAGCACCAGAAGGATAGAGGTGTTAGAAGAGAGAAACAAACATAAAAAATAGAAGAAGGGGAGATAAGGACGATAGATATTTAATTGGAAAGAAGAAGCAAACCACACCAGAGCACCCACCAACCGCCTACAAGAATCAGTTCGCTGTGAAAACAAACAAAGATCAAACATTAAGTAGTAACACTACAACAGGCGAAAAGGTGACAATAGAACTCATAGAGCTAGATGAAGGACTTCCACTATTTTTAGTCTATATCTTTTATGTGAGAAACAATTCTTACCTTGACCATGAAGGTGAAATCTGTGAGGGCGGGGGAATACACAGCGCCTCCTGAAAAGAGCAAAAATGAAAATAATAATAATATTGTAATAATAATAATCATCATAATGATAATAATAATAATAATATGTGCTTTGCAATCTACATTATTACCCCAGCTGACCCGAAAGCATCCTGAAACATTCTCAACAGAATCAACTTACTGGGAAACATACAGTGCAAGCTGCTTTTTTAATAGGCACTGAAACATTAACATATTGACCAGATCTTTTACTGTCTATGGACCAGTACTAATTTCCACCAGGGTGAATAGAGGAAAATTCGTGTAAAGCGCCGTTCCCAAGGACACAACATCCAAACCCCCGAACCAGCAATCTCACAGTTTCAAATCATGTAGCCTAACCACTAGTCTACAGACACCAAGGAAAGAATATTGTTAATTCTTAATAGAAAACTCCTTTGTCTGTGGACAAGAACAGCAGGAACCTATCTTTGAGAGTTTCAGTTTGAGAAGCACTTTGATTGACACATCAACGGCCAGGAGGGTGCTAGGGGGGAAAAAGTAAGAAGGATAGACCCAAACAACAGGGGGAAAGAAATAAAAGTAGTGCCGCCTCCCAGTGACACCCTCACTCCAACCGCCAGCACCAACATTTTTAACTATAATTCGCACAATGTGCTGGTCGTTGACTTTTACCATGATGGGTCACAAAAGCAAGGGAAACAACTATGAAAAATTTTATCTCATAAGAATGTTTTAAAATGATGCTTCCCCTTTCAGCTATTACTATTGGAGGACAAAATGGAGATTTATCTGATTCAACATCCAAATGCCATCGTTCTCAGTAAGTGTATTACGGCACTTCAACCACAATTAGGTCATATAAATGCTGAAGATAAGAGGTGTTACAAGAGAGCAGCAAACAAAAAAAAAAGGAGGAGGAGCGATAAGGATGATAGACGTTTGGTAGGAAGAAGGAACAAATCACACCAGAACACAAGCAAAGCCCCAACCAGACACACTGGTTCCCACAGGCTTGCCAACTTTTGAGATACTGAGTTCTGGAATTTTGAATTTCACACACCACACACACTTCTGTGATAGGGTACCAAAGCTACTAAAAAAATAGTGCCCCCACCACAGAAACATCTCAAACAAAGCAGCGGAGAAACAGGGAGAGAGAGATGAGAAGCCATCTAAGCATCGATCCCGATTTCCTGAGCTTGCAATACCCTTTGTCTTCAGCATTTTTATGCCTTCGCGTTTTGTTTTTTCTAAGAAAATATTTTCAAAATTTGGAGGGGGGCGGGGGTGGGGGTGGCATCACGATTTTCGGGAAAGGTTCGGGATGCAAGCCTGTTCAGAGTGCGACACAAAGTGAGAGCTTGAGAGTGCATACGTACCGGCACAGGGGCCCATAATCATAGAGATCTGAGGGATGACTCCAGATGCCTCCACGTTCCTCTGGAAAAAAAGAGACCAAAATAATTTTTTTAGCCAAGTTGAAGACACTACCTACTCTCTTGCCTTTTACAGATTCCGGTGATAAATAATATGACATTTTTACCATATTACTTTGAGTTATTGTAACAGTTTTACAGCAGCTGTAACACAAATAGGTAATTCTATAAGTGCTGAAGATTAGAGATGTCATAACATACAAAGAAAGTACGGAGGTGAGACAAAGATGATAGATGTTTGATAAGAAAGAAGGAGCAGACCACATCAGAGCACCTGTCAACAACTCATTCACAAAATGAAAAATGTTTTCAAGACATTTTGGTAGGTAGGCCTTTAATAATAAGAATGCTGCAAAGGGGGACTAGAAAGAAGGAGCGAACCACACCAAAGCAAAAAACCAACGTATAGCAGCCAACTTTTCAAAACCAAAAAACCGACTATACACTCACCGCCCTAAATCAAATCAATTCACAAATTTTTGCACTATCCAAAGCTATTCGTAGAGTATGAATCATTCAAATGACCTGTGGTTTTCTACAGATAATGGAATTTCCTCTCATTTGTCTCAAACCATAGTACAATTAGAGCATATTATTATAAAAATAATTAGGTATATACAGTAAGACTTTGTACTTGATAGTTGCGAGACGGAGTGATACGAGGAACAGTAAAAAAAAAAGCATTCCCTTCTATTCCATATTCACGAGTCACACCATGAAAAGCTCAATGGCATGAGACTCTCGAAGGGAAACGAATACCTTTCCAAGAAATTATCAGAAATGTGTCACAATGACCTACTCTTCCCCTATTCCAAATTCCAAGCGTGACGATATGACTGGTGATGAGACGCCATCACATTGCACTTTGTGAAAGCCAGCACATTGGGCGCTCCATGAATAGTGCTGAGAAAAGTTAACCCTATCCGTACGTCATGTTTTACTATCGTATCCATACGACGTGGGGAACTCTGTGCCACCACTTTCCAAAGAGGAAATTTACTCGTTAATCCAATCAGCTTGCATAGCAGTCTGTCAAAATAATTTTTTGAGAAATCATAAAAGTTTTAAAGAGATTTTCATACTAGAAGTATGCTAAAATGTGAAGAATACAACCCCACGGGTACAAAATGACCCAAGGGCGTACAGATAGGGTTAATGAATTTTGAATTGCAGAATTAACAGATGGACTTATCCCATTTATAAGGAAAAAGAATGTTCGCACACGGTATTCAAACACTGCATGAATTGTGATTTCACACTCTGAAACATCAATGATGAAATTTTATTTTCTCAAAGTCACACAGCACTATGCTATAAGAATAACGAAGTTCTGTCCCACATTTCTGGCCGTCTTGAGTCGCTAGGACCATTGAGTAAGAAACAGAATGTTCTGCCTGCTCTATCAAAATCGTAAGATTATTCGGAGCCATTATCAAGATATTTTTAAAAACTTGACTACGTTGTGAAACTCAAAATTTGTAATGTCAAATTTCTCAAAACTAGGTAACCTACTGAGCAGATAAGATAAGACTTTATTGACCCAGTTGGACATTTTTTTTGCCAGTACAGGAATGGCAAAAACACATGGAGACAGACAGAATTCAAATCAGATATTACTTTCATAAAAATTTGATATGAAGAAAAAAATGAAGCTGACAATAACACACATATCACATCAGATGCATCTTTCAACCACATACTGGATACAACTTTGAACTTTTTTCAACCACATACAGGACAGAACATTTTTTCAACCACATACTGGATAGAACTTTTTTTCAACCACATACAGGATAGAACTTTTTTTCAACCACATACAGGATAAACTTTTTTCAACCCCATACAGGATAAACTTTTTTCAACCACATACAGGATAGAACTTTTTTTCAACCACATACAGGATAGAACTTTTTTCAACCACATGTGTACGATGGAACCTTGTAGTTCTAGGATCGCGACGTCTGGGCAGCACCACTCACCTGGAAGATGTCAGCGTAGCCGGCCAGGGACTCGACCCCCTCCTGGATTCTGGCGCCACCCGAGTCGTTGAGACCGATCACCGGGGCTCCGACCATCAAGGCCTGGTCCATGATCTGGACGACGAGAAGAAGAGTTTCTTTAGTTTCAGTCCGGGGTTTTACGGCACTCGCAATACAAATAAGTCATAGGAGTTTTATGTTTTTGTAAGAGTTTTTTTTATATCACTTTAAGTATTAATAGGTCATGATATAAGTGCAGAGGATTAGTTTAGTTTTAGTAGGACCTTCAAAGCACTTGCAATACAAATAGTAAATAGGTCATAGAAGTGCCGGGAGTTTCTTTAGTTGTAGTAAGGGTTTCAATACGAATAAATCATAGAAGTGCTGAGAGTTTCTTTGGTGGTAGTAAGGGTTTCAATACGAATAAATCATAGAAGTGACGGGAGTTTCTTTAGTGGTAGTAAGGGTTTCAATACGAATAAATCATAGAAGTGCTGGGAGTTTCTTTAGTGGTAGTAAGGGTTTCAATACGAATAAATCATAGAAGTGACGGGAGTTTCTTTAGTGGTAGTAAGGGTTTCAATACGAATAAATCATAGAAGTGCTGGGAGTTTCTTTAGTTTAGTGGTTCTAAGGGCTTCAATACACTGTGAGGACGGCAGGGTTCAATTACACACTTCAGTAAAAACGACAAAAAGTTAGAGAAGAGACAGACACAGCTTTATATACCCAAGAGACTGACACCGACAATAAGTAAGTTTACATATTAGCAAAACTCTTTAAAAAAGTCACTGCAGTAGTGTAGTCACTGCAAACATAGGCTAAGATAGACACCTAATATAAAAATATTTCGGCAAGAAACTTTATAAATATTGATAAAAAGGATTACCAAGGCCAACATAAAAGTTGAACCAATACTGACAAAATTATTCAAGAGCACTTGGTCTTCTGAGAAACAACAGATAGCGGATAAGCAACTGCGGTGGATTATGGCTTATGTCCCGTATGTGAGGCAGCATGGTAGAATCAGGCTCTCATCAAAATAATCAAAGTGAAGAAACTGGCATTTTTTCCGAAGGTTTGTGAATTTTTATCTCATTTTTGTGTTTTGGCTCAACACCTTCTATGCCCAATTAAAAGGCACAAAAAATATAAATTTTCCGTTACCATGGACTCTTTAGGCTAAGGAAATTAAATAAAATATCTTTGGCGACCATTTTCTCACTAATTTTATCTCTGAAACCAGTTGACCCCCACCTCCTCATTCGAAAATATCTCGACTTGTATTCAAGATAAATGAGTAATTTTTTTCATCCCAAATAAGACAAGTGAACAAGCTTTAAGATGATACCAATAACCTTACATGCCCATAAATTGACGAGAGCCTGATTCCACCGTAATGTGACACATATCATTACACTCACTTTGCAGACTTTTTTGGCATGAGCACCGGACAGACTGCCTCCAAACACAGTGAAGTCCTGGGGAGAGAAAGCAACGCAGAAATGTTATAATCATAATTAATAGACAGTGTTACAATGTTGTAATTAATAATGTGTAACTCACTGTAATGCCAACACAGATCACTACCAAAGTCCAGCAGTCTAAAAACCCTGCTGAAGAGTTGTACAACAGTGCTCAAATAGTTAATTAAATGTTCATGGAACACGTCAATCATGATCTCTCTGTGTTATCGTTTATTTCTCAATTTTATACACACGAGTGTATAACATGGTGGTAGCATTCATATTATAGTGCAAATTCCCGCTCAACAGCAAGCTCTGTGCGCTTTACTATCTATCTTGTCACCCCAGCAGACCTGACAGCATTCTGAAACAATCTCTACTTCCAGGGAAGCACACAGTGCATATAACTAGGCAGACCACTGGAATTTTGTAAAAAAATAACTGAAAATTTACATAAAGTTGCATTTGAAAACAAAGAGACATTGAATACAAACAGCTCATCTGAGGTTTAAAACAAAACAGAATGCTGAGGGTAATAACTATTTTGAACATAGAATTTCAGAGAAAATAACGGAAACACCTAAACCGTTACAACAGAGAGGCCAGTCACTCACCTGACTAAAGACAAAGACCGTCCTGCCATTGATGAGTCCTCGACCTGTCACAACGCTGTCACCTGGGAACTGAGAACGGAACAAAAATAATAATAATTATTATTATTTCTATTGTTTATTAATAATAATTATAATAATAATAATAATAATAATAATAATTATTATTATTATTATTATTATTACTATTGTTTATTAATAATAATAATAATAATAATAATAATAATAATAATAATAATAATGATAATAACAATAATAAACGTATATTTTTATAGCATGAGTATAGTACAAATTCCTACTCGACAGCAAGATCTATTCATTTTACAATCTATGTCATTACCCTGATATCCGAGTCCCCTAAACATTCATGTGTATAACAAACAACGAAAACAGGCCGCGAAGTTTAAATATCTAGTAGGCAGCATCTTTACAGAAAACAGATTCATAGACAGAGACATAGAAATATGAACTAAAAAAACTAACACCGTCACCTATCACCTAGCAACCCTTCTATTCCATCCAAACATCTATATTGAAAAAAAAAAACGATGCAGAAATCACTTCAATTTTTTTTACCAACAATGAGCTATCAATGCCATACCTCGACATTAGGTAAAACCCATGAGAGCAAAATTACTGGAAGCAAGATGAAATGTATCCACAAAACCCTTAACATCACGAGAAGAGACAGGCAGAGAAATGAAGAAGTAAGAGCAGCTCTTGGCACAGAGTCCTGCCTGCATTTCATAGAAAAACACAGACTAAAATGGCTTGGCCACCTATTACGAATGTCACCTAGTCAGCCAGCCTCAAGATCCTACATCATCGAGCACTCCAAAAGAAGGGGTAGGCCACGCAAAAGATGGATTGAACGTGTCAAGAGAACTTTGAGAAATTATGATATCCCAATTGAAAGAGCTGCAGAGTTGGCCTACTATAGAAAACTGTATCTTACCTCGACGCTCAACAGCAACAGAGGATGAAAAAAAAAGTAAACATAAAAGAAAGGTGAAGTATTATTATTACCCCAGCAGACATGATAACATTCTGAAACAATCACAACTTTTGACTCTCTGGGAATCAACTGCAGTGAAAGGAAGGGAAGTGTATCGGACCTGATAAATACTAAATTTCTGGGCCCCGGGGCGACCAACCCCAACCCAGTGCGTCCACAGGTGGCGGATAGTGGAACGGCCTCTAATATAGAGGTTAGCTGCGAATATCTAAATAAGTAGTCGCATACCAAATGGCGGTGAGGATGGAGGGCGGGGTGAAGACTGTGGTGTTGGATCCCATTCTTCTACTCAATGTAAAATACCCTAAGTGCCCGGTGAAAGCCTCTCTAGCCAGACTGGAGCGCGATATCCCCACCCCCCCGGGTAGATGGAACTCGTTAGCCAGGGATGGCAGTTCATCTAGGAGAACGAAAACTCTGATCAAAAACCCTGCTGCCTAGCAGGCAAACCCAGGGAAGTTATAGGATATGGGAGCACTCCCAGACAGAAAAGCACACAGAAGACGGAGAGGTGGACCGAAAGGTGCTGATAGTCGGGCTAGCCCAAACCGCCTCACGCAAGTCTCTCTCTCATTACTAAAAGAATATTTTGAACTTTTAGACAGGGATATTTGTCACCAACACTTGGATAACAGAATATTGAAAATGAGGTTTGTGGTTTGAGAACAACAGATTGTCTACACCCTTCAACAGCTGTCCAATGACATGCCATTAATTTCTCAAAAGAAAAGTCCTGTACTCATACATGATCAAAGGAAGTTGTTTTCAAATTCACACAGGAAAATGGAAATTAGTTCTGAATTTCCACCGTTAGTAGTCGCTCTTTCCATGGAAATTTTGTGATCATATTCCTACTTCTGCTATGGTTCACTTAATATACGTATGAAAATTTTAGAATAAAATACTTATGAATATTGCATCTGTTTGATTTCTATTGATTAGCCAATTCTTTATAAACTTCAGTCGGTAATCATAAAATGATCATATTTCTATGAATTAAATGTATAAAGCCCCAAATTTAGAAAATATTAATGCACTTAATTAATCCGTGCTACTGGTCGTTTATCTTTTAGAAATATTGTCAAAATTCAAAATTAAATGTTGAAAAAAAAAAAAAAAACCACAATGTAAGTACAATTATGAAAATAATGATAATTTTGTTGCTTTTTTTCCTGTTGAACAGCTTGCCAACGATATGTAAAGATATTCATATCTGACAGCTGTGTAGTTGGAGTGGTGGAGAATATGACAGTACTCAGTACGCAAAAAGGGAAAAAGAATGCTGTTAAAACCATCCAGGGGAAAATGTAAGTTCGCCAAAGATGAAAGATCATGTTTCATTTGCTTTTTAGTCTGAAACAGTGTTTAAACATTGCATAACTGCGGTGATAAAAGTGAAAGCAAAAGTAAATGAGAGGGGGCAGGGGGTTGGATATTTTTACTCCTCCAGGTGACAAGAAACAAATAAATCCGCATTTTCAATCTTTTGAACATTGCTCCCCTGAGTGTTTAAGAACTGTTGCACTTGAGCTTCCCCAGGTTGACTTGCCAGGTGTAGTACGCCCGAACAGACAGAAATAAAAGACATAAAGGAATAGATGGGAAAAAAAAAACCAAGAGAAAAGGTTAGCAGACAGAAATAATATTTGCGAGGCAGCATGGTGAAATCAGGCGCTCGTCAAAATAAGTGAGTCACAGTCGAGGCGCAGAGAGTTGTCACCAGTCAGTGCAAGTTGGATCGCTACGGGAAGTGGGTGTGTATAGTTTAACCCACAACAATAGTAATAGTTCGTCCATTATGAACTGATGAGCTCTCACCTGTAACCGTAACGACAAAGGAGGAAGAGAAGTTACAGACCTAAATATGAAACAGCATAGGACACTGCCTCTATCAAAACTTTTAGGTAATTAAAAGGCGGGTAATATACAGGAGGTAGCCAGCATTGTAAAAAAGGAAATAACTGCAAGCATTTTGTAATGATGACAAACACCACAACTCACCGCATAGATTAGCACCTTTCCAGTAAAGGCACAATGAAAAAAATACTTATTTTTATAATCACTACACCTGAACGGCCAAGACTCACCTTCTGTTTCTCCATCCCGAAGTCGGAGCAGCTGTGTTCAAGGAACATGTCATATTCGATGAAGGAGCCTTCGTCCACCAGTAGCAAGATCCTCTCACGGGCCGTGAGCTTTCCCTAGGTGAGGGAAAGATAACCGGGGATTACAAGTATATAATTAGTTGAGTTATGTTGGGGGGTTTTTCAACATATATATATATATATTATATTTGCTTGTGAACTGTCCAAAGACAGGATCCAAGTAATGTAGCTTCAGTAACCCACTTTCAGCCCTTTTCAAGGACCCCAGGGCAAGTGTTCAGTTCCTGCGTGCTGTCTGCATCGCTGACCGTTTATGACGCCACAGTGCCAGAAGAAAGAGAGAGAGAGAGAAGAAACGTGGCATATATGTTTAGTTTTAGTAGGAGTTTTACAGTACTTGCAACACAATTAGGTCATATAAGTGCTGAAGATTAGAGGTTTTACAAGAGAGTAACAAACACAAAAAAGAAGGAGGAGAGATGAGGACCATACATTGTCTGAAAGGATAAAAGGACCAAACCACACCAGAGCACCTGCCAACCATCCAATTAACAAACGTTTGCTTGTAAACTGCCCAACGACAAAATTTAAATAACACAGCCATATACTCATTAGACAGTACACTATGTAGGCTCTAAAGAGAAGACAAAACTACACACTAGATGTCATCAACTTTGCAATAAACTTTATAATATTAAGTCACAACTAGCTACATACTCTAGAAATTCTTCATTCCTTGCAATATTTTCTTATAAATTAGTTTTGTAAAGAAAGGAGACACAAAGCTGGGGGTAAAAATACAATTTATAAATACTAATGGAGTCTGTTTAAACAGAAATCTGAGGGGACATCTGGATTTTCTTAGGTATAGCTGGGTTTTCAGTTTTTTAGTTTAGTTTTAGTAAGAGTTTTACGGCCCTTGCAACACAATATAAGTGCCGAAGATTTAGAGGTGTTACAAGAGAGTAACAAACACAAAAAAGGAGGAGAGATAAGGACGATAGATGTTTGATAGAGGAAAGAAAAAGCAAACCACACTAGAGCACCCGCCAACTACCCAGTTTAGAGCTCTAGGTTGCTCACCTATATGGAAATAGAAGACTAAAGAAAGACTTTTAATTTTCTTTTTATTTACACTGCTATTTTCGGATTAATTGTGGTCATTTTCAAACTTGCAGTACCCTCAGCGACAGGCCCGAATTGCCCTCACTACTGTTGGCAACTTTACTCGGCGACACAACCAGGCACACTATAAACATTTAAACAACAAATGGACACACCTAACTGAAGTAAATGCAAAAGGAATTCACACTCTACATGATAACTGATTGGTTGATGAACCTCTATGAATTTTTAAAGCGTGTTTCTAGGGCTGCTGAGGGTTTTTTAATTTTTTTTTAATTCTACAACGGCTTCAGCGTTCTAAACTGGAGCAGTGCTTGAGGGTTTTTCACTATATGAAGAGCCCTCGGTACTGTAAGATTTTAAAATCGAACTCCACTGTAGGCCTACTTTCACATGTGAGGCATCATGGTGAAATCAGGCGCTCGTCAAAATACCAAAATTAAAAAAAACAGGCATTTTTCCACCAGTTTGGCAATTTTAATCAAATTCGTGTCTATATAAAGACACATTTCCATGTGAGTTTTACTTAAAACATTGATTAAAGGCATAAAATACGTAATTTTATCATTTTCACAGACTCTTTAGCTACTTGAAATTATAAAATTTTGGCGGCCACTTTCTCTCTAATCTTACCGCTGAAACCAGGCTACCTCATCTTCTTCAAATGAAAATATCTCGACTTTTATTTTAAGACAGATGGGATTTTAATTTATTTCAGTGAAAGCAAGGCTACCAACAACCCCACATGCCCAAATATGGATGAACGCCCGATTCCACCGCGTTGTGACACACATAAAATGCATTTTTGAACAAGTCAACCGAGGCACACATCTCAGAATCATAGAATCTAAGGACAACCTCTTCTCTTCAATGTGCTCTTTGCATGCCTCAATTTAAAATAGCTTAAAGTAACAGTTTAATGGCACTTGCAACACAATATAAGGTCATAAAAGTGTCAAAGATTAGAGGAGCTACAAGAGATACTTAATACACACTAAAAAGAAGGAGAGATCAGGATGATAGCTTTTTGATAGGAGAGAAGTGAGCGAACCACACCAGGGTACGCTCAACCACCGAAGCACTCGATCATGCCTCAGTGTATGAAATGCCAAAGCAGTCCATGCACATACTTAAAGTAGAATAACCCAAGGTGATCCTGTTCATGTGCAACACAAGAATAACACAATGACACGTACTGACACACAGACTATACACACACACACACACATACACACACACACAGAGACACACTCAGACAGACACACTCCTGCTCAGACACACACACGCAGACACACACATATCGACACACACACACAGTACACTCACACTCAGACAGACAGACAGACAGACAGACACACACACATCAAACATTCACACACATTTGATATAGTGACGAGGGTTCAACAAAGGGAGAGGGGAAAAGGTGTGGGGAAAGTCTGAAAAGTAGGCTATAGTTTGGTAACAATATAAGCTACATCAGTCAAGAGTCTCTGATGAACACCAGATGCAGCCTCAGCCTCAGCTATGTAACATGTACAACAGTCAACAGTAAAACATGTCGGACACTAGAGCTTGTGAACATCACAAAACAATTACATTACTCATTCACTAGCCCATGAATAATATGTAGTCTATTTATGTGTATAGTGTTGGTTGGGTTCATTGCAGACAGCTATGCCCATCATAGCTGCCTCCCCCCCCCCTTCCTCTTTTTTCCTCCTCATGATTCACTTTATTCCTAACAGAGTAGAGACTCAATTCACTGACCGAGTATAGATTTCTATCTAGATCTAGATCTAGATTTCTAGGCCTAGCCTACTCAAATGATGTCAGCAGGGGTTGAGGGGGGCGCACCCTGAAGCTGGGAAGAAATTTACGTTTTTAACTTTAAAAACGTAGTCTCTGAGAGTGTTTTGAATAAAAAAAGAAAAATTACTAATAAATAAAAGGTGTTATTTCACTAGGTAACAAGCATAATTGATCAAATAAAAAATTTTAAAAACAGGAGCCTACATTCATCTAAATACTTTTATAGGGTGTGCCCACATACGCGGTCGGGTCGGCTCGGGCCTATCGGGTAGTTGGGGCTAGCCAAATTGAGGGCTTTGTTGGTGACGTTTGTTTTCAGGCCTGCGAATCGCGCGTTGGTGGTTTGCAGCCAATCACAATAAGGCTGAGTGACATGTTTATTTTGACCCGAATACATAAAAGTAAGTAGGCTGAGAATTCACGGTTTCGGTCTCACGCCTTTGACCATCTTCTCACTTCTCACAGCGGGTTTGGAGCACTCATCTTAGAGGAAGAAGAAGACGAATTTATAAGAAGAAGAAGGAGCATTACAGAGGGAGGGTGGTGAGACTGATGGTGAGAGTGACAGGAAGTGAGAGAGAAAATAAGTTGAGAGATGTATCATGCAGAGACCTAGCAATGTTGTAACATGATTGCTAGGTCTAGATCTAGGTCTCTGAATATGGGAAGTGAGAAATAATTTTTAAAAACAAGAAAGGAGAGAAACACTAAACACTAAAGCATGCAAGCGAGCACTCACGCACACACACAAACATACACACACACACACACACACAAACAGACACACACAGAGGGAGACAGAGAGAGAGAGTGCAGGAAGTCCAAGAGTACCGTAGGCCTAGATCTGTACTCATGGGTCAAAGGTTCAGATTATAATCGTAGCCCGGTTTACGCCCTCTATGTAGTTGCATGTTGGTTAAGGTTTCTCTACTTTAACTTTCTGGTCGTCAGGTACAATCGCGGCTGGGCTGTAGTGTGCACTGAAACCACAAAAAGCAATCCGACCCGACCGCGTATGTGGGCACCCCCTATTACATTACAATGAAACGCTTTTCTACTGGTCAGATCAATGTTGTTATTGTTTGATGGTCCAGCAGTCTTTTCCCTGCATGTTCATGTTCTCACGTTCAAGTAGGAGGAGAAATAGAAATCTAGTAGTTTTTTAACTCTTTCAAGTGCAGTGCAGCAATAGTTTGTCAACACCCACTTTCCCACACCAAGAAATTGTTCAAATCCACAATGCAACAGTACAATCGTCGGTAATTTTTTAAAAAAATTTTTAAATTCGGAATTCTGAAAATTTTCGGAGAATCCCCATCACTGAGTCCAGTTTCAGAATCAGAAGGTTATCTCTGCAGAGCCTACTCTAGACTCTAGAGATCTAAGATTCTTAAATCTAGGCTACCTCCGCTCTAGAGAGAGATTGTAGATCTAGAACAATATCTTTTATTATATTAATATCTCTAGATCTAGAATCTAGATCTAGATCTAAATCTAGAATCTAGATTTCTAGATTTTTTAGACAGTGTTAAGTCAAGGAAGTCTTAGCAAACGTTTCCTGCTTTTACAAAGCATTTTTTTGCTACTGCCAGACCTTGATAATGAATGACTTGCAACCACGCAGCGGTCGCGTTTTGTGGCGGCCATGAATTTCTGGCACACCAGGTCGATATTAGCTCGGGTACCTAGGCCTGATCAATAGCTCTAGCAGTGGTAGATCTACCTAGCAGAAGAACCACCCCAGGCGACATGTCACACTACAGTACCGATAGCCGATAATTTATGCGACGAAGGCCGAAGCCAAAACATCATTGCTATTCATACACTCATAACACACAGCAGCGTCCTCACACTGACCTTTTTATGCTGTACATCAATACGCCTCTGTCCTCCACCGAGTAGAGCCTTTTGCCTGGTTTCCTCAATCCTCCGCTTTACATCCAAAGTAAGTTCAACACTCGCCATTGTCGAATCCTGCCGGCGGAACGCCTGTAAGGCTAGAGTGCGCTGAAAAACACCGCGACATCGGAAGAGAGTTCGCGTGCAACCAATGAGGGTAGCCATTGTTGACAAATGAAGGGTAAAGGTCAAAAGGAGTCAACAAAACTAAAAATCATTATCTAAAAGGATTAACTTATCTTAACGTAACAAATAATAATATTTGTGTGCTGGTAAGGAAATGAACATCAATAAAAGGAGAAAACACGACAAAGTGTGTCTCAATACATGTCGTTTATCAGATATTCTCTCTATGATTATGAAAATCAAATTCATCATCAAAACTTTGGTACAAGCTGAATTTATAAAAGTCCAATGGGACAAGAATCCATGAAACTAAAAAATTCCGACTCACACGCAAGGATTACTCACGCTGCAATGCGTGAGCCAAGTCCTGGAGGATTTATTTCCCCTTACTGTGTCGCGTGATCACATCAGCTCATACTACATGTGTTATTATTCTAATTCATGAAGTAAATCCGTAAAAATAGAATACCGGTGGTGAAACTGTACTGTTCCTGCACATTCAAACACCATAAACCACCGCTAATCAAACTAATTGCCCAATGGATTAGCTGTGGACAAACACAGGATCCCAAATGTTCTCACACCGACTGGTATAAAAAAAAAACCCAACATACCCGACAGTGATAGGCTTATTCATTCAACAACCGGCACATTTACACCCATGCACCTGAAACAGGACCGGTGTCGTAATCGATTCAAATTCTCAAAAGGTCTCAATGTGGATACCCCGCACTGATAAACCACATAATATCCACCCGATCCTGATGTGGGCTAAAAGCGTCAAGCACGCGATAAACACTACGGCACAGTTTGTAGAGATAACATCTAACCGGTGACACTGTCTCAAAGGATGGCACTGTTGGCTTACATCAAGGTTTGTCACATTTATCTTGTCTAGTGTGCAGAGGATATTTCGCATCTTTGCTTGATGATGAAATGATTACCGTAACAACACCAAATGATAATTATTATAAAACTATGGCAAAGTCGAACTTATCAGAGAAAAGTACTTAAATAAGTAAAGGTCTATTATTATACATGTAAGTTTATAATATGATTATGTACTCCCATTTGGGGAGATCGAGAACGTGGAGAGGGACGAAGACAGGGAAAGAGTGGAGGAGTGGAAGAGGAGAGATGGAGTGAGGGAGATAGATAACGAACAGAGATGAAGGAGGAAGGGAGATAAAGAAAGAGAGAGGAGTGGTGGAAAAGGAGAGACAGTGACAGAGAGACAAGATACCGTAGAGAGAGGAAGAGAGAGAGAGGGGAGGAGAGAGAGAGAGAGAGAGAGAGAGAGAGAGAGAGAGAGAGAAAGAAAGAGAGAGAGAGAGAGTTGGGGAGAGACGAAAAAGGCGATTGAGTGCGTATAAAAATTATGCGTGAAAAGCATACTAACTAGCAATTTTTTTTGTTTAAAAAATGCTGTCTTTTTAGCCTGTTTGTGTGCAACGTATTCGAATTTTTTAGTCAGAACCGACCTC